CAGATCTAAAAGTTGGACGTGAGTCTTAACTGATTAAGACCTCAAGAGCTAAGGGACTGAAACTGAGAGTTACACGGGGCGTAATCTCAGTACGTGCAGCGTAAGGGGTCGCGCACCCCGTTTCTGTGAGGACGCCGGGTACGCCCAGCGTACGTGTTTGGTATGCGCAGCGTAACCTGGAGGGTTGACTTTGTTGACTTTTAGGGTTTGGTCAACTTTAGGGCCTTTGAGCCATGGGAGGGGTAAAATGGTCTTTTACCCTTCTGAGAGTACTAAGAGGAGGAATAGTCTAGCCTTGAGAGATGTATTGATTTAGAGTGTATATTTCATATGATTAGGCGGGGGCTAGACCAGATTTTACAGAGTTCGAGCTTTACCGAGTTACCCGAGGTGAGTCTTCTCACTATACTTTACCTTGAGTAGGTAACCAGAGTTATGTGACAGAGTATCTTGTATGTTATGTATGTTATATGTTGCACTGCTATATTTCTATGTGATTTATGTTGTGCATGTTCTGAGTTCACAGAGTTAGGACCATAGGGTCCACAGAGTTAGGACCAGAGGGTCCACAGAGCTAGGACCAGAGGGTCCACAGAGTTAGGACCAGAGGGTCCACAGAGTTAGGGCAAGAAGGCCCATAGAGTTATAGCCTCGAGTGGCTAATATGTGTTAGAGTGGTATTTTGGGGAACTCACTAAGCTTCGTGCTTACAGTGTTATGTGATATGTGTTGCAGGTTTTTCTCAGGATCACAGGACGGCACCGGCTCGATTGTACACACCAGAGAAAGAGTTATGTTTTGAGGATCCTGGAGTATTATTTAATTGAATATGGAGTTATGTTTGTAACTTAAAAGAGCAAATGAGATTTTAATAGAAGGTGACATGAGAATTTATATGAGTTTAAATGAAATTTTTAGTTTGAAAAATAACGGTGTTACACTCTAAAACATCTTATGGTTGGTTTCATTTCATTCTAACCTCTATAAATTGATCCATGATGGTTCGGTTTTGTTATGATCTAAAAATAAACTTGTTATTTTAAAGTCTTCTGTTGCCGGTTTTTATGAAAAACAAACTTTTATCTCGTATCAAAACCCAACAGATTGTAGGGGCGATGTTGGAGAGCAAAAAAGGAATGCATCCCCTGTGTATGCCTATGTGTTAAATCCAATCACTTGATTGATTTATCCCTTAATCAGAAGGTACTTATAGTCGATTTATCCCCTTTTCAATTTGTGATCTTCAGATTTATGTTTTATATTTTTTACAGAGGTATTGCTACCTCTCTCTCCCTCTCTCGATATTGTCATAATCCCAAATAAGCGTTGAATGGCTAGCAAACAAAGCGACGACACCAATTCATCTTCTGCGTAAGCAGAATCGGTAATCCACCATTTCAGCCTCTGGATCCACCACTTCCTCTGCGTTTTTCTGTTCATCTTCCAGTTGAGAGGAATTTATGTTTTCTGGGTTTTGAGGTTAAATATCGATGAACATACATTCAAAAAGATTGAATTTTGTTCAAATTTAGATGTAATTCGTTTGAGTTTTCTGCTGTACCTTTTGACTTTCATTCACTGATTGGATTTGTTTAAAGTTAGGTTTAATTTAATTAGAGGAAATGTAACAAGTTGATAGGATCAAATCTGGATTTCTTAGTTTAATTTCATTTTGTGTTCATGATCATCTTCAACCTCCATCTTCGTCAATACCCAGATTTCCAGCATCGATTTTTCTTCGAAGATTTCAATTTTTTCTGGCTTCGATTATGACTAGATCTTTTGGTTACTTTGAATTTTATATTGATTTGATTAATTTGTTTGGAGCCAGATTTAAATTTAATAGATGAGTTTGGATCTTCATGTATTCAAGGATGACATCTTACACACACACAATGTGCCCTCTCTTTATTTATTAATTATTAAAATAGATAAATATATATTAAATATAAAAAATGAAAGAAAAATGAAAAATAAATACAGGAGGGGCATTACAGTCGTTTCAGTCTACCGACGGACCAAAAACGCATCGAAACTAGGCCAAAATGACCATCAATCCAAAAAAGTCGAGGTTTGGACCAAACCTCATAAAAAATACATACCACATGACCATTTTTGCAGATTTTGTCTAGTTTTTATGTTAATCAAATGATGAAAAAGATTTATTAAATAATGTTCATCACAAAATAAAATTAAAATTAATAATATTTATAATAAATAGAAAATAAAAGATAAATTAGATCAATCGTAGAAATTTAGTAAAAAAAATTAGTATAATAATCAAAATAGTCATGATTTTTGCAAGTAGTATGAGATTTCGGCAGGTGGCTACCTGCAAAAATCTAAAATTTAAGCAAACTTTGAATTTTCATAAGTTTTTTGCAAAAATCTGAAATTTAAAAATGATTCGATTATGACATCCAAGCTTTGGCTTTCTAAATCATCGTTGTAGTCAACATGATAACGAGACCATAGATAAAAGACTAGACTAAATCAGAGTTCATATGAAAATGTTATGGATGTTGGAAGTTATAGAAAAAGTTTCCATGAATAGAGAAAATGTAAGAAATTTTTTAAGTTTGGGAAAACTGTCTTGACAACCCGAGGGGCGTACATTGGAGGTTTGAAAAAGGGACTTCACGATGTCCAGCTATCGATTGTAATATATCAGTGGAAACCCTTTGTTACAAAGGACATAATGAAAAAAAATCAGGTCATTATAGGGTTCTATGCACTTTTCTCCAAGTTTGGGAAAGTTTGAGTGGATGGATTCCATAAAGTTGTCAACTTTATGGATCCTTGAGGAGGTCCCTTTGTAGTTCCTTGTTCCAGATTTAAAGTAATATAGAGTTTTGACCCCATGCTTGAGGTTTTGACCTCATTTTCTCCATCTTTGTGAGCTAGCTTAGGAAAGACATGCATTTCTATAAAGAAACGATTTTTATGACTCATGGGGTGTAAGAAAGTCTTTTGGAAAGTATGAATGAGTAGCTTGAAGGATTAAAAGGTTAATTCATTAATTTAGTTAGATGAGGTTCCACGACGTGGAGGGTTAGCCACCACGATGTGGCGATAGGTAGTCTTCGCGACTGTTTTGTCGTGCGGTCACTACGATGTGGAAAATTCTTGGCCACAAAGTGGTGGCCAACTGATGAACTTTTGACCTTTGAATTTGACCATTAATCGTTTGATTTTTTGACCAAATTGACTTTTGGCTAACTTGAGGGTTTTTGGGCTGTAGATTGAGGATTGGTCCCTATATGTTGTATAGGTGATTCATAGTACTAGTTATTGGATTCGTGTTTGCTGTATTGTTTATCTGATATATTGCAAGGTGAGTTTTCTCGTTATACTTTGTATTGCAGTATGTATCCTTGTGCGTAAGATGTTGGTATGATATAACCATCTGTTAGATTGGTAGATCTGTATGATTACATGTGTTGCTGGTTGTTGTTTATTTGTTTGCATATGTCGATATATTGCAGTTGGGTTGAGGCGGTCCTGCTTTGTGTTGTAGGCCAAGATACCTGGCAGTCCAGGTGTACTATAGACCTTGCGAGGCGGTCTAGTCATATTGTAGGCTCATGTATGCATGCATTGTATTTGTATTGTTGTGTGGGGTATTTTGGGGGAACTCACGAAGCTTTGTCTTATAGTTGTGGATTTAAATGTTTCAAGTACTTTAGAGGATCAGGGAAAGGCGAAGGCGTGATCGTACACATCATCCTTTTGATTTTTACTTGAGAGATGTTATTGATACTCTGATTTTTTTATTATGTTTTGAAACAATGATTTGGATACTTTATGGTTTTTATGGGAATGTCTTTTGAAAATGAAAACACTTTACTATGGTTTTTGGAACGTTACAGTTATAGTATGAGGTTTGACCTCTATTTTATGATAGGAGGTTTGTGATAGCTGTGTATTCTCTTGAGACCGTGAGACTGCTACTTTTAGCGTGATGTGAGTCTTCTCACTATATTACTTATGTCATGATTGTATCATCTGTGTGTTGGATATATGTATAATACTATGACATGCTAGTCTGCTTAGTTAGACAGTAAGGGCTTGCTCATGGAATTTTTGTTTAATGTTGGTTGCTTGTTTGCTCGTTGATTGGTATGTTATGTTCTTTGTTTGACTGATGACAGGATCGAGATAGGTCATGAGTCAAACAGAGTTCGGTGAGTTGATGACAAGATCGGGACATGTTGTGAGTCAAAGAGTACCCGATTAGGACGGTAGTGAGATCGGAATCGGCCGTGAGCTAAAAGGGCCTAATAATTTTATCTACAGTTATTATTGAGATATTTGTGATATTTTAGGAAACTCACTAAGCTTTGTGCTCACTGTTGTGGATTAAATGTTTTCGGATCGGACTTCTGGTAGTGGGAAGGCTCCAGCTAGAGTGTGACGCATACGCATCTCCTATTTTATGATATTAGGTTTCCGTATTTTCTTATACATTTTTCTAGATGATCATGGTGTTTTAAACCTATGGTACCTTGGATTTTATGAAATGTGATTTGGGTTGTTAAACTTATATATTGAAAATGAAAATTTTGGCATGAATTTTTAGGACGTTACAAAGTGGAAAAAAAGAGAAGAGGGAGCTATGCGACAATGGCATGTCATGGTTCCATGTCATCTTTTTATGCCATTTGAAAGGGATGGTGTATGCCATGCCACATAGACAATATCGTGCTCCACTCCATCTAGTCTAATGATAATGGGCTAATGGTAGTGGGCATATAAGCCATACAATGATTTACCAAAGAAGTCATTGTAATTTTCATGCTGTGATCCTAAATTAGAAATTGTTGCAATCTTTATTAAACAAATGGATGATGTTAGATATACCGTTATCATGTGATTTAAAATGCTCTAAAATGTTTCGTTTGTGCATGCATTAATGTTATATATTGTACCATTTTCATTTTGCCCAGAATGAGCTTGGATGCACAAACTTTATATATTTATCAATTGATTAAAGTTGTATTACATCGTTAACTCGGAGTATATATAACGTATCACATACATGTTCATTTTTGTATTTAACACGACATATAGTCATACAGAGCAAATATGTCAATGTGCTTGAAGGTTTATGAAATGGAGTCTAATTATTCACATGAGATAAACTATTAGTCGTCAAGGTTTTATATATACATATATAATACATCTTTGTTCAAACAATTTCAACATGATCTTCAGAGTCGAGGAATACACGAGTTAATACATTCTTGCATTCCAGCGAGGCTTTTAGTAGCTTTAAACCCTGCGACCAGTAGCGTATTACAAAAAATCATTAAATAGAACTAATATTTTACTACTTAAATCTACAAAACTCATAAAACTTAATTCGAGAATCACAAGAATTTGAACAAAAACATCCCATCAAACCCTAAATAGAATTTGAACAAAAACATCCAATCAAACCCTAAATTTTCATACGTTGGGGGAAATATATGAATAGACGAAATGTTTTTTTAAACTTAAAGGTGTTTTCATTTTTTTGGAAGATTTTTGTTAAAAATGATAAGATGATGAGTCCACTTTGCTTGGGTCATGGTGTGAATGATTTTATATTGGACTTAGACTATAAGGGATGGGTCCTCCACTAGCATGGATGACCCTACCTGGAACCTATTTAACATGTTAAGGCTTTTGAAACAACACCTCCTTGATATGTTATGTTAATAAATGTTGAGGAGGCAACGTAACTTAACGTCGATGGAGAAAAAAAATTAAGCAATTGAACAATCATGTTTTACTATTTAATTTCATTACTTTTTTATATCCATTTAATTAAAAAAAAATAATAATAAAGTGGTGTGGTAGCTATTTCTTAGCAAATATGGTGTGGTGTGGAGAATGACATGACATATAAGTTGGCAAAAAATGATCTGAAGGGTATGACCCATATCCACCAGCCTTATGGGCCTTAAAATGGAGTCGTTTCGCCTTTCTTTTCCGGGTAAGAACAAAAAAGATGGAAACCTTATAATAAAATAATCGAAAACATATACATATTCATACCTCTGCAATTCCAAAATGGACTTCCTTTTCTTCAAGAACACAAACATCTTTGATACACAATCTATTGAGCAAAGTTATGGTGGAAATGGTGGACATAGGTTTCACGGATAGATCATCCATAACCATATAAGTCACCACCGCTTTCACAAAACCAACTTCTCTGGCCGACACTATTGCAGCCACCTTATACGTATCTGGACCAACATAAGCCACCTCCTCCGACATGGGATACCGACAATTAGGGCACACGGTCTTTGGCTCATCGGTGACATGTCTGCAACGGTGGTTAGAGGCCGAACATCTATAAAACTTTCTTTCCATGGTGGTCGGAGGATCGATTGGTAATAAGAGGAGATCTTGTAGATGAGGAACATGGGTAGATAGTTTTGGGTTCAAAACAGTGTCTTTGGTCTTGTTTTGTAAGATATACACGTCGTTTAGGTTGTCGATGCTTTGATAAAGATCTCCTAGGCTGCCCAATAAGGTCTCATTTGCGAGAAGCTTCATGATTGCGCCGATAGGTAATGTGAGCATGTAAAAGAGGAAGTCAATGAAGTCTTTGTTTGCTTCAGCAAACACGATTTTGCGATCTTTTTTGTTGACCAAAAGCTTCAAGCTCAGTATGGAGTTTGTCATTTATAGTTGAAGGTATTTATTTGTAAAGTAAATTTGTACGCAAGTAATGTTGAACTATCGAAAATGGAATGGGAGGAAAATAAGAGGGGAATATTTTGAACCTTGGTTTTATAATGGACTAAAGGAGACAAAACAATAAAGATTCTTAACTTGACATTTTACTTTTGGCAACTTAACTCGAATTATGCAAAGTATATATGCTTCTCCTCCGGTCCCCCCCCCCCCCCCCCCCCCCCCCCCCCCCATGTTTCCTCATTTCTTTATTTAGTATAAAGTTTTGAAAAATCTTATTTAATAAAAATTACCAATTAAGCAGGAGGATATCTAAGGATTCGAAATGTAAGGATACACATGACTTTTAGTGTACGTATCTTAATATTATTTTATTTGATTTTCAATTAAGAAAAAAAATATAGTTACATCTTTATAATTTTGTAAATATTTGCGTGATATTATATTATATATTTAAAAGTTTACGTCTTTCCTGTCGGGTGCATAATTTATGACTAATACTAGTTGTGAGACTCATGCATTATATTGGTTAATTTAAAAAAAAAAGTTAAAAATAAATGTTAAAATATTTAAGAACTTTGAATTTATAAGAAAATAAGAAAAATAATGAATTATTATAATTTAAATGTTTTTATCTTTTAAATTTAAACAAATAATTTAAATAAAAAAAAAACTAATGAGCTTTAATTTTGAGAATTTTAAAATTAAAAGACAAGTTTATTAATGAAATTAATATCCATTTATTGCAATTATTACATTAAAGGATTATGAAGAATTTAATAAAATAGAAAAACTCATAAAATGACATGTGAAAAAAAATGAATTCAAAATAACCACAAAATGACATTTGGCAAATTGAATGAGTATTTGACAAGTGACAAAAAAAAACCTTCATTTTTAGAGATGATTTAAAAGTTTACGTCTTTTCGTGTCGGGTGCATAATTTATGAATAATATTTCTCTCTAGCTTTTATAAACAATATTTCAAAAATAAAATGTTTTGCAGTGAAAGATTCGAGTCAGCATGTGGAGAAAAGATTGCATTTTGTTTTCTGTTTTTTATTCTTTGTGTTCGTTGTTATTGTGAATACAATTTAGTCAAAGATCATATGGTCATCAACATGTACGTAGTCTTTGAAATTGTAGGCGTGCATATTTGAAAATGTAGGCATGAAAGATTTAGTATTCAAACAACTAAGATCGAAATTAGCGAATCTTTAGCGTTTGATATGCAGAACTGGACTGGACTGGACGGAACAAAATCATTTGACAAGGTGTTTGGCATGGATGAAACAAAAAGTCAATGGGAGAAAAACTTGATCAATGGGATTAAAATTTGTAAATTTAGTTCCACCCAAAAGAGTTGGACAAAACAAAACAAAGGATAATGACTTAAAACGGTAATATATTTTTTGATTTGTACACATTTGGTCATTGGGTTTTTTTTCGTCCACATTTACCACTTCAATTTATTAAACTATACACATTCAGTACTTATGACTGGCTACTCCAGGTTAGCTGGTAAAAAATGACTTAATAATGTAATATATTTCTCACTTTGTATATACATTTAGTCCTTAATATTTTTGTACGCATTTAGTCCTTAATATATTTTTTTGTTGCAAAATAAGTCATTTTTGTTTTTGTACTCATTAGTACTAATGAATGATTTATTTAGGTTTTTCTCACGACATCTTACATAAGACCATCATTAATGAGGTGTTTAGGGCTTTTGATTTTATGTTCATCGCAATCTCGACTACTTGGTAGATTAGGTCATGTGTTCTGAACGTCATAACTTCTTCACACGACCTCAGATTTTAACGATCTTTATATTCATGCGTTCGTATTTTAGTTTACTACAACTTTCGTTTAGATTACTCCCGTCAAAAATTAATATATTTTTACTTACAATCTTTATATTCATACGTTTTTTATGAATGCATGCATGGATGTTTTTTTATACAATCATAAGAAAAACTATATCTTTGGGTCCCTCGATGATTTGACGTCGACATATGAAGTGCTTGACCAAGTCTGCACTAAATTAATGTGTTCAATTAGCAGTCTGTTTACAGTCGTCGTAAATTAGAAATCGGGAAACAAAATCTTGGACAAAGAGATTAATTATAATCCATGTCTCGTGTCAATATTATATCTTGTAGAACGGAGGAATATTTGATCACTTATCTTAGGACACGTAACTTACTGGGTCAAAGTTCGACAGCGGGTTTTGGAAGCTACAATTTGTTGATCAATTTGGAAGTTATACTGGCAGTTATAGTTATTAGATTTATCCAAGTGGGAGACTGTTAGATTTACATGTCTAAGCCCATAATTATAATTTGTATAAACTTGAATTGATAATAGCACAGTCCTTTGGGTTGCCCTCAAACCTAGCAACTGAATATGATAACTTTTAGAGAGAGAGTCTGATTTATTAATTTATTATATGGTCAATAAATTAATTAGAAATCAAATAAATGATTTGTTGATATATTATGAGAATAATATATTAATTGGAAATAGAAATATTTAATTAAGAATTAATCAGAAATTAATTGGAATTAATTTTGGGATTAATTGGTAGTGTTGGGGTTATAGTGTAATTGTTCAATAGTTGAACAAGAGGCATTCTAGAAGCTCCCATAAGCCTTGGACGGTTTTATGGAGATTCTAAAGGATCTAGAATTATCTTTGGAGGATAATTAGGAAGCCAGATAAATACCAAAAGTTAAGGTAATGTTATTTTATTGTTTTAGGACTTATCTAGGGTTTATTGGTACACTATATGAAGGCCCCTATACCTCATATTTTTGTATATGCATTCTTAGAGAAGCTAGGGCCGAAATTATCACCTCTCTCTCCTCTCTCTCCCCCCTCTCTCTCTCTCTCTCTCTCTCTCTCTGTCTTCAAGCTCCTTGGTTTCTAGGGTTTGGGTGTGAACCATTAGAGGCACGACACTTGTGGCGCTTGCTTCCAAGAGTCTTTCAAGAAGGATTCAAGGTTGTTTGTTATAGCAATCTTCAAGGTTTGTTTTATTGTCTTATGAATTAGTTTGTTCATAGGTAAGTTTTGTAGGAAGATGAATCATAGTATATTGCCTATATGTGAAAGACTTAGATCCTATTAGGATGCATGTTCCCTAATCATTTGAATTGTTTAAATGTTTTCCGCTTAATGCATTGTAGTTGTAACCCTAATAACCCATCAATAATTATTATTATTAGTAGTTGTATTATTATATCCATTGTTTATTGTAATGTATATTTATATGTGTACATAAACATACATACCATATACACATAAACATATATAAACGTATGTATGTGTATTTGCGTGTGTACGAAAAGGATTGAACTTGAAATGAGCAATGGGTTTCGGTGGTGCACATAGATGTATGTATATTTATATCATGTATAACTTGGTGAAAACAAAGTAATCGATGTGTAATAATGTTGTGAAAAAATGAAGCGAAAAAAAACCCCGACATTTAATCCTCAGAAAATGACAAATACAAAAACTTCTGTGGGTAATCTGTAGGCAAACACTTAGGGATTACCTACGGATTTTGTATTCCGTAGGTAATCTGTAGGTATTTAACCACATATTATCTACGGAATCCAAAATCTGTAGGTATTTACCTACATATTACCTACAAAAGTTTTTGTATTTTTCATTTTCCGATGGTCAAAAGTCATTTTTTTTCGCTTCATTTCTTTTAAAACATTATACATTGATTACTTTATTTTCATCAAAATTATACATAATATAAACATACATACATCCATGTGCACCATTGTATACATACTCATACACAAAAAGGATTGAACTTGAAATGAATAATGAGTTTTGATGGTGCACATGGATGTATCTATGTTTCTATTATGTATAACTTGGTGAAAACAAAATAATCAATGTATAATAATGTTGTGAAAAAATGAAGTGAAAAAAAACGACATTTAACCCTCGGAAAATGAAAAATAAAAAATCTTTCATAGGTAATTCGTAGGTATTTACCTAATGATTACCTAGATAAGTTTTTGTATTTTTTATTTTCCGAGGGTCAAATGTCGTTTTTTCGCTTCATTTTTTCACAACATTATTATACATTGATTATTTTGTTTTCACCAAGTTATACATAATATAAACTTACATACATCCATGTGCACCATTGTATACGTACACATACGCAAAAAGGATTGAACTTAAAATGAGTAATGGGTTTCGATGGTGCATACATATACACACACATATACAAGTACATATACATACACATACTGTAACATCCCAAAAATTATAAGGTAAAAAATTCATTTTTAAAACACCATTTAATCATTTTTGTAACAGCCCCCTCTGGCACATATCACAATATTGTCTGTTTTTGGCTCCCGACACGAAAACTTCCCAGGGTTCACCCATCCTTGAATTACTCTTGCCCGGGCACGCTTAACTGCAAAAGTTCTTATTGGATCTGATTCCCTCACGACTTTAAAACGCGTTGTGATAGGGAAGGTATTCACACCCCTTATAAAGAATGCTTAGTTCTCCTTCCCAGTCTATGTGGGATTAGGTGCAACTAACCTGCCCACCTTCACCTCCCCCCATTATAGGTTTCGACGTCCCCGTCAAACACATAGACCCGTGCCCTGGCTCTGATACCATTTGTAACCTCCCACTCTGGCACATATCACAATATTTTCCACTTTGGGCTCCCGGCGCGAAAACTTCCTAGGGGGTCACCCATCCCTGAATTGGTCTCACCCGGGCACACTTAACTGTAGAGTCCTTATGGGATTTGTTGTCCTCACAACTTTAAAATGCGTTGTGTAACATCCCGAAATTCAGGTACAACTATTTAGCCCTTCTTTTATTCAAAGTGTCAAGTTAAGCCCTTAAGAGGAATTGGTAGCAAATGAGTACGCTGGGCGTACTCAAGAGTACGCTGCGCGTACTCATGCGCTTATTTCGGACGCGGACCCGCTTAAGTACGCTGGGCGTACTCAGGGTTACGCTGGGCGTAATGTGTCCAGGTGCAAACCCTAATTTCTGACTTGTGCCCT